TGTCCTTACACTCCCCTTACTTTTCAGTGTGAGAGCAATCAGATTTCCTCTAGTCCAGTCAAATAAGCCTCAAGGAAGAGAAAAGAAAAAAAAAAACCCAAGCACCTCACTAGGTAAAGAGGAGGAAACTGAGGTCTGGAACTGCCAGCAATTTGTTCTGGCTGTTGAAGCGGCCGGTCAGATATATTTTAAGAGAGACACACTAGCTTATATCATACAGAAGTTCAGACTAGGGCTCAACCATCCTTCCTGGCTGTAAAAAACTGTAGCTATGAAGAGCTCTGCAATAACTTCCCATGAGCCAGCACTGACAACACCTGTATCAGTCTCACTGCTAACAAAGCTCAGGAGGCCGAGTAGAAAAGATAAACCTAACTCCCCATTAAAAAAAAAACATTAGGCATTCCTATGCAAATTGTCCTAATTATCTGAGCACCAGTCAGGGACTCGAAGCTTCAGTCCCAGTCTGCTCCTGACTTGGTACATGTATCTGTCATTTTTGCGTCTGCATTTCAGAGCAATGCCGCTAATATTGACAACATGAATTAACTATAATTACGTATAAGAGGTGGCATAGGGAAGCACATTATTCCTGGGCTATCAGTACAGCTGTATCTTTCTAACAGGAAATATGTTGATGTTATTCAAAGCATCTTTCCAAATGTTACTAACAGAAAGGTAGGAGAACAGGAGCAACCATCAGTTGAAGAGAGGCAGCTATCAAGGAATGTCTACGTGGGACAGCTCTCCACAGGATTCACTAACATATTCATTGTACTAACAGCCAGAAGAAGACATCTCGTGTATCTCCTCTAAAAAGAGAGTTACTCGTTCATTTCTGTTGCAAGAAGCTTTGTGGCTTGGGAATATGCCTTCCAGATGTGGTGGAGAAGAATCCCACCCTCTCCCTCAACTCAGACTGCGTACTGTCCTCACATCTGTCACAGCTCAGGCAGCATGATTCAGAAGCAGCCAACTGGTTTCTCAGACCATGTGCTCACACCTCTGATGTTTAATTACACAGTTCACTCAGACAAGCAGTCACAGAAGGATATGTTGCCAGTTCTTCCAGGAACCCTTTTGCTCCTGTGAGCCTGCATCAAACTGTGCTGGAGGGAGACACAGCCCTGTGCTGCCAGAGGAAGTTGTCCCCTGCGTTCTGCTGGGAGCAACGACGCTATGCGATCGCAAAAGAAGCACGGCTCAGACACCGAGCTGCTCATCTTGTACCTTAACCAAAGTGTCACTTGCAGTCCCTTAAACCCACACAGCCCTGGAATGCTTTTTTAATTACAGAAATACCTCAGCGGAGTTTCTGTGTGGTATGGGGCAATGGCAACAACCTGGGTTGGGAGGTTCAGGTTCAATATTAAGAAATATTTTCTTTAGGAAGGGGTGCAGCCCTGGGAAAGGGCACCAGAGCAGAGACATGCTTGGGGCCTTCAACGTGCAACTAGACGAAGCCATAGGTGACCTGATCTGCCACCAGCAATAGTCCTGCTTCAGGCAGCAGGTCGGACCAGAGACCTCCAGAGGTCCCTTGTAAACAACTCTACTGTCTTTCCCTGAAGTCCTCTAGCTGCACAGGCTGTATTTCTTACAGACTAAGAGAAGAAGAGAGCCAGCCTTTCATGAGAAAGCCAGAACCAGTCAGGAAAGAAATCCTGATCTCACAGCAGCCGAATTCTCTTCATCACCTACCTACACTCAAGTTGTCATTTTCCTCTTCTGCTGGGAGCACTTCAGTGTGCCTTAACCGGCAGCGGCTCACTGCCTGGATGCCAAAGCTTAGGACTGGGTGGGTAAGGAGGAACTCGGAGATGGAGCTGAAGTAAGCTTTGCCCTCCTCTTGGTTCTGCATCAGCTCCATCACATACAAGACCTGGGAGAATCAGAAACAGTAAGTCACTGGGCTTTCAGAGCAGACCATGCGTATGTGTGTGTGGACTACAAAGCCTAGCACCCGAATGAGATTTGGAACAATGGAAATAACGTGAGGAATAAAGCCTGGGCCATTTAAATTTGAAACAGAACACCCAAGGGAACCACAATAAGCACACTCCTGTCTGAGTCAATGTTGATCAGGAACTCAATCCTACTGTGCCAGACACAGGTGTCTCCAAATGAGAGCTTTACTTTAGGGTGAGAAATAATCCTTAAGGCTCCTCAGGATTGATCAGCTGAATTGTTACCATTTGTCATCTTATGGTGAAATAGCCGAGGCCAACCTCTGCATTTTTAGCTATTAGCATGCGAATCCTAGACCTAGGCAGCAGAATCAGTCACACAGATGGTCATTTCTCCTTCTGTCACCATTACCCACACAGCCAGCAATAAAATGAACCACCTACTTTTCTCTGCACATCGCTCAGTATCAGATATTCAGCGGAGAGGTCCAGGCAGACTTTCAGGCTGGGAAGAATACTCATGGAGCTGAAGATGTCAGGAGAAAATCTAGATCCACAAACAAGAGGTGGGGGGGGTGCAGAAAGCAAGGCAGATTAGCACAACCAGAACAACTGTTATGAAACTACATTAGTTTAAAAAAAAAAAAAGTTAAGGAGTTTACAGCCATATTACAGTGCAACCACCCACTAGAATAAAAACCTCATCGCAGAAATCAGTGCTGACTTCAGCTAAGAGACCAGCAGGGAGATCACAGAATAGGATCTAGATATAGATTCTGAACATTTAAATGAAAGATGACCGTTTGTCATTACTTAACACGTTCCACATTCATAGAGGACAAGAGCCAATGCTACAGATTTAAAAACAAAAACCCACCAAACCAAAATAACCCTTCTATAGATTTTGGACCTTCTGTAGTATGAGGTGGAAAAAGCAGCGCCCAGCTGTATGCCATATTCTTCTCATTGTAAGAGGGCAATTCAAAAGTGGCCTTACACGTGCATGTGATCAGAGGGGCCACGATCCACCAGCAGAAAAGTAAAACCAAGAAATGTAAGTTGAGTGAAGGGGTGGACTGAAGTGTAATTTGAACTTCTGGACCTATGTGGCTTGGCAAATAAGCCTTGTATAACTGCTTAAGCTCTGTCAACATAGCAGGCTCTCATTATTTAAATCAGAAAAAGCAATAAAACGAAAAGATCCTAGATTGGTTATTGAACATCTAGCATTTTTACAGAAGAAAGCTCTCAAGGAGTGCAATTCGGAATGCCTCTCCTCATGCTACAGGTATGTCTATGCTCTACAGACCAAAGTGAAGACAACAGGTCTTGGTAACACCAAGGAGACTGTATAAAAGGATCAACCTCCCCGCCTTGCCAAAGCCTGACCTGACAGTCTGTCACAGCCCTGATAGCTTTCAACAGATAGGTCAGATTGGCAAAGGAGGAGGCTCTAACTGGGGCTAGAGTAGACTCGACTGGAGATCAAGGATCACCTTTGCAAAGTAAGTATACCTGGAAATTGAGAGCTTTGTTACGATCCACTGCTCAAAGTAAATTCAACCTTTCAGGGGAGTCGATGTATCAACACCTACCGGACAGTTTGCAGACACGTCCAAGACACAGTGCACCACATCTTCAGTTCTCTATTCTGATCTGCTCCTGTGATGAGAAATCTCCAGAAGGGAACCCTGCAGGCACAACAGAATTAAGATCTCTTAAAGAAGATCTGGTCCTTCCCATAAGAACGTTTCACAGAAAAGTTCCTCACAAGCTGCCCATAGTTGATTTTGCCCAACTGTGTCTTAAAGTTCCCAGAAAATCTCTGCTTCTGAGACAGATTAAAAAACACTGTAACTCTCATAGCTCTGAAGAACCTTAAAGCCACAACTGACTGAAGAAAGAATAAAAATTAAAAAACAAAACAAAACAGTTACTTTTTAATCAACTGCAGTAGAAATTTGGAGGGTAACAGGCCAGTTAAAACTGACCATACCACAAACCTGAAAGGACTCATCAATTTAGAGTTTTCATTGCTTTCATGGATTGACACTAGAATTAAGGTCACTTTACACTGTGCTCCAAAGCCTTATTTATTTCTCCATCACTGGAAAACCTGACTACAAAGAGGACAGGACTTGCTCCTGCCACAACGCTAATTTTTTACAAGTATAATGCAGTTACAAGGAACCCTCCAAAGGCAGAGTTAGAAGACACTACTAAACTTCGATAATTCAAGTACAGGACTGGGGACTTACTCTGGGTCTTGTTTTTTATGGTTGTCACAGAAGAGCAGGCAGGAAAGAGGCCTACCATCATGGGGTTTCCACTCATGAAGACACCTAAGAAAGAATCAGAAAAGATTGAGCGTGCAGGGAGTGGTAAATAAGGATAAGGTGGGCGCTGAACACATTACCCCTTGTCCAAAGACAGCATCAAGTCAGCAGCCACCAAGTGTTATCAGCTTGTAGCTGTTTACAGGCTTATATAAAATAAGGAGATCACAGCCCACGCAGCCACAGATTGGTGTCTTAACAAGGGCACAATACATAAAAAGTCAACACTGAGAACAGCAGCTCAGAGAAGCTTTCTGCATTTACAGGGACAGTGCAAAAGAGTTTGACTACAGCCTGTGCAAAGCACAGAACTGCTTCCAGACACAGCGCTCTGCTTTTTTCCTGAGTTCACCAAACCTTGAGCATACGTGATATTCAGTGATACAACTCTTCTGCAACAAATTACTTTACAAACATTCACCCTATATCTTTATAGTGTCCTGAGAATGACCATCGCAGGTGATTCTGTACCAAGGAAATTCTCACAGAGAAAATGCTGCTCTCTGTTCCAAGATCCTTCATTTTCTAATTCTCCAGTTACCTTGGCTCGTCTTGCCCCTCAATATAGATCTGCCAGAATTTGACAAAACCATCATGGCTTGCTGTGGCCAACACAGTTCCATCTGGAGAAAGTGCTCCCTCGCTCAGGCACTAAACAGAGAGGGGGGGGGGAAAAAGACACAGAAAAGTGATTTTATAGCCCTTCATGGAGAAAGAGTACTCTCTTCAAACAGGAATTTGACTAACAGTCTAACAGTACATGAGGTCAGAGTGATTTCTAACAGACATGTCACCAGGCAACTTAACCCTTCACAGAAGAACTGACAGGACTTTTTTTTGTAATAATAATTAACAATCACCTTTTCCAGACAGCAAATCTAAGTACGATGCATTGTGCTCCTACTGTCCCTACTGTTACCCATGTTATGAACAGAGCTCATTTTGTTTTGGGATCTTCTGGCTTTTCACAGTCATTACTGTTTCACAATCATAATTGCTTCATCTAAGCGATACAATTACTTTGTCATCATCCTGTTCAAGAAGTGAAATTGGACTCTTTCCAGTTGTTTCTTTTATATTCAAAATATCACCTACTGGATACTCAGCTGCAGTCCTGGTCCACTGTACTCACAGATATAACTATACTCATTAGGGAAATCATAGAAGAATAAAGATGACATCAGGCTTAATTTACCCCTTCTCATCCAGCAGTAAACCACTGCAGTGTTAAGTGTTCCATTTACCGGGAGATACAACCAAATAGTTGAAATACAGCCCAGGTCGTCAAACAGGCCCGTGGAAATACAGATGAGTTTTTTCAAGAGCCATTTTCAAATGACTACACATTCACCTCGGCTCTTTAAACAAAGGTTACTTACCAACAGTGTGTGTACATAGCCAGTAGGTTGTGGATGATAGTGCGGATGGGTAAGAAACTGGTTTTTTTACAGCCAAGTGTCCTAAGAACTGCAGCTCCTGAGACACTATAACCCAAAGAAAACCTAAGTGATCTGTAGCGATCACCTATGCGATGGCAGTAAAGAAAGTAAAATAGGTTTATACCGTGCTGTGGCCTTTCACTACGATGAAGCCTTCTTTGATGCTAGGCACTTCCACCGGCCAGGAGCTGTTGTTCGCTCGGATAATGTCCAAATCCCACACCTCTGCCTGGAAAACAAACACGTGGGCACACAGGTTTATTTCTACAACTACTGGTCTGATCCAGTAGAGAATTTCTTATATCCTTATCTTATATCCTGAGATACCAGCCCAATGGCAAGTATGTGACATAAACCTTCCCATTTCCACCCAATTTGGCCATTAGATGCTTTCCTGACACCCAGCTATACATAAATACAGGGAACTGCTCTTGGCAGTTGTAGTTGTGGCTCACCAATCCCCCTCCCCCGGGAACTGGCTCAGCCTGAGCAGATGAGCGATGCCTCTGGCCCTCCACATTGTTTCTAGTGGTCCCGCTATTTGACGGTGAGCAGAAGTTATCCCTTTCCTTCCTCCTGAGCCCCGGAGAAAGATCAGCATGACCTCTCCTCGGAAGAGAGGAATCCCACATTTCATATTATGGGAGGATCCCCAGCACAGACTAGACGGGAGCCTTTACACCTCTAACCGTATCGGTTCTTTCCTTCATTAGATTCTCTCCCTCTAATAAGGGGCAACATTTCAAAAGCAAGGTTTCCTCACCCTGTCCTCGTGCAACAACGCCAATGTCTGACTTCCTTCTTCACCGCTCTCCTCGTTATCATCTGGGATGAAAGGGCACCAGATGATTCTTCGAGAGGTGTTCAACGGGGTATTGTCAGGTCGCTTGATGTTAACCAAGATCTCCTCTCTGATCACCACGGTTAAGAAACATAACATTCTGGCAGTGCTACTGACACTCAGCAATACCCTATTCAGGCTTGGTCCTCTGGTAAATACTACTAAGCCTCAAGATGAGATTCAAAAAGAAATCAGATAAAAGGATTCTGCTAAGTAAGGTGGCAAGCTAGCATTTCTTCACTGGCAGAAAAGGTTAAGCTTACAAAAGTTATTTTCTCTTGCAGGCTGCAGACAGGTACAGGATAAGCACAACAGGAGCACATACACACATCTGAATGTGGAATCCACGTGATTGTTAGCGGATAGATTAAATGATTTCAGCTAGCATCGCAACACTACCACAGAAAGACAGAAAAGCTACCACGTTGTCCCAGGCTGAGTGCTCTGGTCCACCCATACAAATCGGATCTTAACTACAAACACCTTTGCTCCTGTTGCTTTTGAAATGATGGCATACAATTCAAATTAAGAAGCCACGACCTAAGACGACATATCCCACAGTCTGATGTGCTTCCCAAAAGCACTGAGCAGTCAGTCCTAGCAATTAAAAGGAAAAGATCTAGGGCAATGAATCAAACATTGAAAATAAATTTCAGGACCACCAAAAGAAGAGGGATGACAGGTCTGGAAGGAAGATAGTGAGCGGGAGGGAAGTACTCCTCGTTCCTTTTCTGGGGAAGAGGATGTAAAAGAGCTAGAACCAGACAAACGTGAGTAAAAAGCTTTGTCACATGGTCGAGGCGATACTGTCCATGGGTAAGGCCGGCTAGTATGACTGACACTTCTCACTGACTACTTTTGCCTGGACCAGAAGGAGCACTGAGGTGTCACTCCTGGAGTTTCAAGTTACATGCAATTTCACATAATGATTGTGCTGAATACAGGCACAGGTTGATTGATTTGATACTCTGGAAGGGGCAGAACTATTGGCCGTCCCCCTGCAAGCTGCTATTCTGAAAAGGCTATGAAATAAGTTGCAATTTTGAGGCTGCATTCACATCTAACCATTACACAAAGACTGTCATGAGGCGTATTTTGACAAGATACTGGATTTTTTCTTTATCCATGGCCAGGCGCCAGACAAAAAGGTTGCCGGCCTCATCCAGGCACGCCAGCTGGTTGGAGTTGAGATGAGCAAAAGCCAGGTCTGCCACACCGCCTGTGAATCCTTTCAGCAAGGTCCGCTCAGCAGTGCTGACGCTCAACACCCGCACCATAGCGGAGCCGTTACTGGCAGCTGCAGAGAAGACAGAGGGAGAAGTCGTCATTTCTCTGGGCGGTTTCCCCGCAGGACTGCCTTTGTTTCCAGCCACCGGCTTGTCATTTCCAGCACCCATCCAGCCATCAGCTGTCGCTGGCAACACACTGAAAACCCCTATCAACAGGTACCATGTTAACAAGCCCCTTCAAGACCCAGGATACATGCACAAATAGTCCCTGCACTTCTCAGCTTTGGTGCAGAAGGTCGGAACGGCAGCATCAAGGAGGAGTTTGCGTGCCTTGTAAGGGGCAGCTTAATTCCCCGTATCTTCTACAGTTTCTCGAGCACGTCAAATTCTAAGTTGCTCTACTTAAAAAGTCAACAGAAGTTGACTTCTCGTGATTCCCAGGACTATTCTCATGAAAGATGCCTTCATTAAATGTAAGGCCTAAATCTTTATCCCGAGCTCATAACAAAGCCAGCAAACCTCCAGGACTGACCTCCAGTGACAGTGAATTAATTTTAATTGCAATTTCGTTTTCAGTAAGTGGAGAAAAGGAGTCACCGAGAGGCAGGTAGCTCAAATATATCTTCTGTAAGGGGAATGTAAAAAGCATAAACACTCACCTGGCAAAAAAGTACTGCTTTTTGGCTTGCATGACTGAAAAGAACATGCTTTAGAGCATGCACATACCATGCAAAGTTTCCAATTTCGCCATTTCAGACAAACATCACTATAATGCAGGCAGTCTTATGGACACCCTCTTGCTTCCACTTCTTGATGCCCAAGCCCTAGCAGGTCAGTCAGCTTTCCATAGTGTTACTGCACCCAAGCTTTAATACTTGCTTTAAAAAAGCTGCTCTAAAATAACCTCAGCTAGGAAAAAACCACAGAAGTGTAGTAGTAGATTTCATAAAAGGCCAGACAAACTGATGGGTGTTAGAACTAAGAAGAAAGGGAAGAGCTGATGGAGCCCCAAACACTGTGCAGAAAGAGGCACTGCACATGATAAATGTTCATTTGTTTCATGTATGTTGTGAAACAATCTTTTCCTGTGTTGTTCTGCTTCTCTCTCCCTTCCTACTGCAAAATACACTGCATCTGCGTTGCTCTTTGGCTCCTCTAAATTTAGACTTAAACTCAACTCTAAATTTATGCAACCAAATCCATCGCAAACATTTATCTGCTCAAATTACCACAGGGCTGTTTCTGTGCTTAGCTACAGAGAAGCTTGTTTACCGCAGAAATATTTAATTAGAGGAGTAATCTGAACATCAGCTTACTGTTCAGTGAAACCAACGTAATCCTTCAACTCTTCCTCCATCCCCACTGAGTCCTTCTCTTGCTTTTATTTCTAACTTCAGAAAAGCTTTCCTTCTCGGTGGAAACTCTCCTACACCACCAACTCTTCCCTCTCCTGTAGCTCCAGCTTCACTTATACTCCCACTACAACAGCACCCTGATCTTGGTATTCCAAGAAGTGTTTCAATTATTGCCAGTTACCTTCTTCTGATGCAAACTTCGCCTCTTTTAGAGGTACACAGAGCAAAAGAATACAAATCACATCCAAGACAAGAAGGTATCTCACCTCTAATGGCATAAGCCAGGTAAGAGTTTGAAACAGCTATCAGATTGCCATAATAGTATTTCTGCTCCCAGTCATATCTAGCAACAGGCTGTATTTTCACCTGCTCAAGAGAAAGAAAACAAAATATGAGAAGTGTCTGGAATTAACTTGTTCCTGGAACAAACTTGCCAAATACATGATTTCCTCCAGGGAGGATCTGTAATGCTTAATAGGAAACTATTAGAAGCAGCAGTTGGTAAGAAGAATTGCACGTTGGAATACCAGGCAGCAGAGCGCTGAACATTCAAAGTTCTGGAGGCTGATGAGTATTTCCTTCCTTGTTAAGAAGGAATGCAACTCACTGAATTTGCCACACTGCAGAACAACACTCTACCCTGCAACTACAGCAAAGCAGCCTTCACCTCCTTATTAGCACTGCGTCTGGATTCCCAGTTCTTGGAAACTTTTTTGAAATATAGAAACACATTTGCTGCAGGGGCACTTGCTTTTTAGTTTTAATACTGCTTTCCAAGAAACTGAGAGTCCTGGTCTTATTTGATAAGCATTGTCTCTGTGAGCAAAGAATTAAGAGATACTATGGAAATTATGGCAATGATCCTCCCTTTCATTTTTATCTTCCGTATTATCTATGAAAAACAATAATAACACAGTACAGTATTCAGCTACGTTCTCTGCTGAATTCACTGCATGTCAAGGAACAAAATGATACATGAAAAAATGCCGAAAGGATCAAGACCAGAGTTCTCTCTCCTAATTATTAGCATTTGTTCTCAGCATGTCTTAGTACTCTGCTACAGCACTAGTTCTAATCTCAGCATATTGGTTCTTCTGGAGCTCTGATCTGCTGGGTGGAGCCCTCAGCAAGACTGAGGCTAGCAAGCTATCAAGAGCAACCCTCCCTCCATGGTGAAGAC